AGACAGCCTGCACTCCTTCACTCCGCATACGACCGCAATTGCCGCAAAACTCCAGAGCCGCAACAAAATACTCAAAGCGCTAGCCGGCAGCACCTGGGGTAAAGATAAAGAAACTTTGCTGGCTACTTACAAAGCAATTGGCCGGCCGGTCGTAAACTATGCTGCTCCGATCTGGACGCCGGGGACGAACGGGACGCAGATGAAGAAGCTACAGGCTTGCCAAAACACCGCCCTCAGGACTGCGACAGGAAACCTCCTGATGTCGCCGGAGCATCACTTGCACAGGGAAGCATCTATGCTACGAGTTAAGGAGCATAATGCTTTGCTGTGCAAGCAGCTCCTACTGGGATGCTACCGCAGGGAGCACACCAGTAGACACTTAATAGAGGCTGAACCTCCACCTAGGCACATCAGAAAAGAAGTACTAGACTTTAAGGACACGATCCAGAAACACACACAACAACCGCTGGACAGGACGGCGTATCGACAAGCACTGAACGCCATGCACCAGGAGTCAGTTAACACCTTCATGGACTCCCTTCCAGTGAATGGCGTACTCGGAGAAACACCACCACCCATTGCAGACAACGAGCTCGAGCTGCCTCGAGAGACCCGCGTGACCCTGACACAACTCAGGTCTAGATATTGTAGAAGGTTAAACTCCTACCTATCCAGACTAGACCCCAGCATACCTAACGTATGCCCGGCATGTGGAGAGTCCCCGCACGACACTCACCACCTCTTCACATGCCCCCTCAAACCTACTCATCTAACCCCCCTCTCCCTTTGGTCCAACCCCGTCCAAACAGCTCGTTTCCTGGGCCTACCTTTAGATGACCTCGACGACTTAGACTAATCAAGCCTGTGCCTAAGCGGGGTTAGCGAACCGCTACAACAACAACAACAACAACAGACTCCAAACTAAAGTCAACCTGAGGACGTTTTATTTTTCTTTATATTTTTATTTATGTTGCAAACAATATTGAAAAAAAAAATTTTGAATGAAACTACCTTGTTTTGTTGGACCGAACCAACAGTGGCTTCGCCTTGTAATTGTACATTCATGTGTATAAAATAGCTTTACGAATATGGGTATTGTTAATGCTCGTTAACAGCACAAAATTTTTTGTGCTACTGAAAAGTTACTGCAAAGGTTTATGTGTATATCAAATTAAAAGTATTTTAAACTAATTTTCTATAAAATAAAGTAGTAATTTTATTTTTGTTATTGGGTTTTTTGCAAGTTTACTTTGGAAAGTATAGGGCAATCAAAAAAAAAATATTCTATCCAACGATACCAAATTTATAAAATTAGGTGTACAAATTTTGTAAAATTTTCGAAAATTCTCCCTTCGCTCCCCCATATCTACGAAAACAAAAGTTTGCCACAAAAAATAGGGTTTCAAGAATTTACCTGCCATAAGAGTCGACTGAATTCCAATAGTTCCAGAAACAGTCGGATCTTAATACCGGAACGGATTTTTCCAGGCTAAGGAATGTCACTCCCGACACATTCCCCGAAAACTACTTTGGGAAATGTTTTTGTGGTTACAAAACAACCACCATTAGTTTATTTTGTATTATATTAGCGGTCTGTATTCAGCACTTCGGTCAATCAATTTGTTGGAGACGCCAAGGCGCCCACCACAAATTGGGTTGTATTAGTTTTCGAGTGAAATAACATTTAAAAAATTTGTGCATTATTTGATTTCTAAAAAATAAAATAAAAAAAAGATTTAGAAAATAATTTAAGTAAAACTAAGTTAATTTTTCCATTTACGGTATCCTTTCAGCAAGTAATATAGGCCTCCAAATGCATTTCTGACATGAAATAAAACCTAACAAATAACCAGTTACATATATTATATTTTTAAAGCATATTCATTAGTTATTTAAGAATATAGTCAAACATATGCATCTTGAATTAGAAGTTCTCGCTTTTAAAGTGTTCTAATAATTGGTACATTGCCCGCTGTAAATGATCAATGTGTTGCTACAGAGAAATTGTTACGCAGCTACAACCTCTATTTAAAGAATTGAGCTCAACGAATTTTAATTTTAAATATTTATTCTTTCTTACTACTTCCGAAAATTCGCTTGTATTGATTGAAAACTTCTTTGTTCATCATATAAGTGCTTTTTTCCACTAACTTCCGAAAAGATTGAAGAGTCTGCGCTTCACGTTCTATTTTTTCTTTCTCCTTAAGTAAGAACATCTTTAAAATATCATCTTTGCTGTTCTCTTCATCACTTGTATCTATCAATTGATCTGCCTCATCATTTACCGCATGCTCAAACTGGTTGTGAAGTCGCTTATATTCAAGATCCAAAAGCCTCTTCAATCCTGCTGAATAAGAATGTTTCTGTTCGGTTTCTCCTGTTACAGATTTATCATTTTCAATATTTGCATGCTCTTCGACAGATTTAATCGATCCATTAATATGTACATTTTCAGCATCTGGACCAAGTCCAATTATCGTTTGCAATGTTTCGCCGGATATTTCGTTCCGACGACTTTCTTCTCCGGCACTAACCTGTTGGAAATTAGTAGGACCGTGGTTTCCGTCAATGTCATAAAACTTATATCCCAGCATTTCGAGGGCAATTTCAGTTAATAAATAAGACATAGCTTGAATTCTTAAAAATACTTATTTGCGACATTCCTGAGTAACTGTAAACAATTGAAATATGTTTATGATAATTGTTGTAAGTGTTGTCAATATCGTAAGTGCATCAGTGTTGCCAGAACTTTTTCTCTGAGTAGCCTACCCTCTTCACTCATGTAGCCACGCCGTAGCCACATAAGAGCGCTGCAGTGCGATTCTGTAACTTTTATCGACACGATTTGTCGGATCGCAAAGTTACGAATTTTGTCGCTTGCGCTAACGATTATGCGATTCTCTAACGCAGTTGTTACGATAATCGACATCGCACATTTCCATTTTATTAAAATGTAGGAAAGGTGGCACCACAGCTCAACGAAACGTCAAAATGTACGAAAAGCACAAAGAGGAATGACAAAAACAAATAAATTTGTTATTGAAATTATTTTAATTAAAAGAATAGCAATGCATTACAAAGTTTTTCAATAGCATGTTATGGTTTGCACTTTCATGCATGACTCTTCGCTCTATAGGGGAGCTCCAAATAAAATAATTGTGCCGCGCTCTTGGGTACTTGGCATTTGCCAGTATAATCTTGCGATAAGGACCATATATCTATGTGAAAATATAATTAACTTTGTTACTACAATAGTAATCGGAAACAAATTTACTCTCA